GCTGGCTCTCAGCACAGCAGTCAGGCATCTCTGCCAGCGCAAGTTTGTCTGCCTGTGCCACCCCCGTCATTACGTTATCTGTGGACAAGCCTTACTGCTGTTGCTAAAGGCTAAAACTAAAATGATGTGAGTGGTTGTTTTGAGGGAAAGACAAATTTTTGTTTGTTTGAAACTGCAGGCCCCAGGAGAAGAGGAACCCAAGTAGGAAAGGAGGCAGACAGGCCCAATCTCTGGAACGAAGATGCAAACTGGTAAACAGGCAGGAAGCCTGGCATAGAAGAGGGCACAGGTGGGGAGCTGGCTGCCCTCCAAGGCTGGCCTTTCTCCTGGGATATGGCTGAGTTAGGCCCTGTGACCTGCCGAGGCTGCAGCTCTGGCTTGGCAGAGCCCTCGTGAATTTGGGGAGAGGGGAGGAAGGAGAGAAGGTAAGTGATGCAACCCTAAATCTATGCACCAGCCACACACTACCACGTGTACTTCCTGCCTGCGGACAGAGAGATCCTTCTGTCAGCTTTTAGTCACTTAATGCATTGGATAAAAGCATCTACAATAGGCCAAGATTATTCTTTTCATGACCACAAAAGATGTCCTCTCAGGGAATCCGTATTGTATTGTGAGCTGGAGTAAATGCTCTTTTTTTTTTTTTAATTTCTTCCCAGCTCAAAGGAAAATATAGGTAATGTCTCCTCTACTTTCCCTGCCACCACAATTTCCCAGAAGGTCGGGTTGGCCCATCTCGCTTCTTAGCCTCTAATTTATCTCCTTCCTCACATTCCTGCCTCCTGTCCTACTGACCCCTTCATTCCCACTTCTCCACGTCCACCTGCAAGGCAAAGACCCTTCAACTTAGCCTAGGCTTCCCTAGTCTTCTTCCATGCCTGGCCCTATTTCCACCCATCCAAAATGCCACAGACCTTCCTATTCTCCCTGAGAGATTTTGGCTTCCACAGGACAGCTCTGTCTACCTGGTCTTCTCCTTTCAGCTTCTCAGCAGCCTGTACTGCCCATAGCCACATAGAGTCAAGGCAATTCACTTTCATACCCTACAGCCTCCCCACTAATGCAGCCCTAAGCACAATTTCCTGGCCTGCCTTTGCCTCCTCCTGCTCCCACCAGCCCTGCTTTCTGTCCCACAGGGAACACGGGTTGCTCAGCACTGCCCACTTCTCCTCAACCACTGTCCTCTTGCAAGGCACACTGGCCTCTCTGCTGCCAGCACAAGTTGCTGGTCCACAAAACTCACCCTCCCTTTCTTCCTGGGCACACAGCTAGATTAAGTCTCTCAGTTCTCATTGCACTTAGGCATAGTGATGTGACTGGCTTTTAGACAGGAAAATGTGGGTGGAAATAATATAGGCTGCCCCAAGGCCTTGCCGTAAAAGAATCCATACACATTCTTCCCTGCACATTCCTCTTTACGGCTAGCTGAGTTGTGAAACTTACTATCTTAGAGCAAATTTCCACTTTAAAAAATGAACAAAACAGACAACGAGCTGCCTGAGTTTGCTGTTTTGTGCTGTGCAGCACATACAGCACCCTACGTGTCCAAGCTGGCCGAGAAGCAGAGGCCAAGGCTGTTTAGAAAAGCCTGAGGATGAGAGTCACAAAGGACAAAGGACGGGCCGAGGTGCGCAGTGCAGACAGGTGATGGCAGGCAGTCCCTTACACATCCTCATCTCAAAGTATGGGAGAGTCTGGCACTCTGGTCTTGAAGCCAGAGGGTGTCTGAAACCGCCAGGTAAACTACAGTTAGAAAACGGAGAGGAGGGAGCAAGGTTCATGGG